GGGCCAGCCTGGGCGCTGGGAGCACTCGCTACTGCTGCTCGTGGAGGTCGGGCGTCACCCACCTGATGTGCCGCTGCGTGGATGTTGCGCTGCTCGCTCACGATGACGTGGGGCAAGTGCTGGTCCTTCCTGGGAGGCGCCGGGGGCGGCTTGAGCAGGAACCTGCCGGGGCAAGCAAAGACGTCGGGCCCCGGTGCCGGGCTGAGGCACGCTGCTGCAGCTCTTCCTCACTTACCGTTTTATTTTCTTGGCGCTGGGCTTCAGCCCCGTGCCTCCCCACTCGCCCCAGCCCGGCAGCACCAGGTTCACCGGCTGCGGCTTCCCGGCCTGCTCTGCCTTGCGCTTCTCCCGGCGGAAGTCAGCGACCACATCGTCCCCGGCAAAGGCCTCTGTGATCACCCCTCTTTGGTCGACGCCACCCTCCTGTGGAGAAAACAGTCAGTCCCCTGCCGTCAGCCCCGCGCTGGGACCGAGGGGCGGGCCCGTCCCGCTCACCTCCTCCTCCACGACCACAGGTAGGCTGGGGCACTGGACCTCCTGGCACTTCCCAGCCAGCACAGCCTGCAGGCTAATGATCTTCTTCTTGGCTGGTGGTTTCTTGGCACGCCGGTCCCCAGCCCTGCCTTCCTCCTGCTGCCGCACTCGCTCCTCCGCTCTTGCGGCCGCTGGCTTCTCCTGCTCTTCCACACGCTCCTCTGAGGCCAGAGCCTCGCCGTCCTCCATCGTCCGCGCCCGGCCCAGCTGCTCCGACAGCAGGATCTCCTCCTGGGCCTGGGGAGGCTGCTCGGTCCCGAGGCTCGCCGGCTCCTCGGCGCAGACGGCGTGGATGGGGCTGTCCCCCCGCAGTTCAGAAACTGCCTCCATCTCATCGGCACCTACGCGTTGAGGCAACAGGTGAGAAAGAGTCACCCACGAGCAGGGAGGGAGAGCGCAGGACGGCTGTGTGAAACCGGGCAGAAAACGGCCCCCACGACCCCCTTTTGTTTGCCCAACCCTGCGGCACAGCAGAGCCGCACCGCCCGGGGCTGCGAGCTCCTCACCTTGTCCCTCAGGGCCCCCCGCCCGCTGCTGCCGCGCGTGCCGTTTCTGCGCAAAGTCTTGTAGCAGAGCTTCCTCCTCCGACACCTCCTCCTCCTCCTCCTCCATCTCCTCCTTGCTCTCCGCAGCACCAGGCACCGCAACGTCTCCAAGACCCTCCTGCACCTCAGGCTCCTCGGCTGGGCCGCTGGGCTTGCCCAGCATCCAGGGATTAGCTCCGCTGGCACCCGCAGGGATGGTGGGGACGGTCACCGACGTGAGGTCCTCCTCGGGCACATCCCCTGGCTCCTCCTCAGGCAGCTCCACCCGCACCTTCTGCATCAACTCCTTGTTCTTGGCCAGCTGCTCCTGCATGGCCTTGCGGGCCTGGGAGGGGATTGAGATGTTTCTAACGCAGGCCAGAAGCACGCCCACCTTCCTTGCCCCACCTCAGCTGTCTCCCCCTTCCCCAACCTGCGTCAGAGACCTTGTTGTGGCCTTTCAATACATACAGGGGACTTATAAGAAAGAGAGAGAGAGACTTTATACCTTTATACCCTGTAGTGACAGGGCAAGGGGCAACTGCTTTAAACTAAAAGAGGGCAGGTTTAGGATAGATATAAAGAAATGTTTTTCGCTGAGGGTGGTGAGACACTGGAGCAGGTTGCCCAGAGAAGCTGTGGGTGCCCCATCCCTGGAAGTGTTCGAGGTCAGGTTGGATGGGGCTTTGCACAAGCTCATCTAGTGAAAGATGTCCGCCCCTCCTGTCATGGGCAGGGACTAGACGGTCTTCACAGGTCCCTCCCAGCCCAAACCCTTCTGTAATTCGATGATCTCACCTCCAGGTCATACTTAGCCATAATGGCCCTGGAGCGGGCCCATTTTCCCTTGTTCTGGTGCTTAAGACTCATCCGCTCCTGGGGGGGGAAGAGGGAGAGAAGCATCAGGAAGAGCACCCTCGCGAGGGGGGACTTCCCAAGGGGTGGGGGAGAAGCGCAGAAGCAGCACCTGCATCCTGAGCTGCTCCAGCTCCTCCAGCCTCGCCAAGGCGGCCTCAGGGTCCGACTTATGCAGCAGCTCAAACTCCTTTAAGGCCTTGCGCCTCTTGCTCTTCTTCAGCACGCGATGGTACCTGCTGCCCAAGGGCGGAGAGCCAGGGAGTGAGACCTCATGGCGCTGGGGAGGCCTTTGGGAATGCAGTGCTGTTTTGGGCGGGAGGCTGCCCGAGGCACTGCAGATCCCGGGGGGGAAGGGGGCCGCTCTGCCTTCCTCCCCGTTTTGGCCATACCCACGCGCTGGGCAAGGTCGGCTCCAGCGCCAAGGCCAGGACCCAGCCCTCTCCCACCGCACCGAGCCCAGCAACGGCAGAGCCTTACTTCTTGCTCTTGATCTTCTTCTCTCGCCGAGCCTTGGCTTCGTAGTAGGACTGCACGACCCGAGCCTTCTGTAGCTCTGCCCGCCGCTGCCGGGCCTGCCAGGGAGCGCAGAGTGAGGGCAAGCGCCGAGGAAGAAGCCTCCGGCGCCAGGGCAGGGCCCGGGGGGAAGCACTCACCTCCTCCAAGCTCATTGCCTGCAGCGAGGCCGTCTCCTCTGGCGTCAGGAGCGGGTCCGTGATGGGCTGCTGCGTTTTGTGGAGCAGTCCAAAGATCTCCTGCTCCAGGGGAGTTCGGGCCTGTTGGGACATAACAGGCACAGCAATGCTCCCCTGGACGTCCCCAACCTTCCTGGTGCCCCTGAGCAGGCCCAGGGGAGGGCCCAGAGAAGCGTGCCCCCCTCCTCCTGGGGGCTGGGGTCACAGCCCTGCTCACGCGTCCCACGCAACAGCCTGGGGCTCGCTACGGGCCTGCCTAGGCACCCTCCCAGCCATCACGCCAGGTCAGGGCAGGCAGGATTCCTCCCAGGGCAGAGAAATAGGCTCGCAGTCGACAGGCAGCGCTGCCTGGGTTAGCACCGGCCAAGAAGCACGCAGGACAAGTTCCAGGCCACGTGACACCACGTCCCGCCAAAACGGAAGGGGACCGTCGGGCAGATCGAGGCGCGTGCCGGGTACGTCGGGAGCTCGGCAAAGGGCTGTCGCTCGCCCGAGCACCCGGACAGCTGGGATAGCTCTCAGGGGTGACAGCGACTCTCCTGCCAGCAGCACAACCCCCACCAGAACTCGCATGCAAAACCAAAAGCATCCTTCCTTCAGAATGAAGATTTACGGATGCGCCGGGCTTGGCAAAACAAAACCCCCCCCCCCC